GTTATTTATTTAGAAAACCAGAAGTTTTGATTGTACACGTATATTTTGTGACCAAAATAAAATATAAAATGTGTCCAATACTTGTTATTATTAAATAACAAACACAGTACAAAACATAATATTTATTAAAGTAGCTTTTAATATTATTAATCTTATAACTTGAAATGTTCAAAATCATAAAGTTTTAGTACATAACGTGAGTTTATTTAAAATGCCGAGTATTTTTCATTGTTCCTAGTTCCTAAATGATTAGCAAACACTTTAAAACGGTTTATTTAAAATTCGTTACAAATAAAACATAAATATTTTTAATAACAATATTAATAGTAATATTATTACTTATTCGGTTGTTATATTATGCAAAATGAATATTCTAAAGAAATAAGTGAGTAGTGACAACTATAATCATTGTCCCTTATAATATGGGTTTTTGTATAGCCGAATGCGTTATATTTCGGTTAATTATGTGATACATAATTTTTTGTTATTTCGTAATAATGTAATTTTTAAATAATAAGCATATAGTATTCGTAAAATAAAATATTTTATTTTATTTTTGATTTATTTACTGAATATTTTTCAAAAAGGTAAGTAAAAGGTTAAGTTTTTACGGTAAAGTCGTCAACAGTAGTCAGCAGGTTGAAACTGTAAGTGATGAGGAAGAACACCCTTCGTTTTCTTCAATAATTTAATTTAAACGTACAACCATGACCTCTCAATGTTTTAAGTGTGGGATTCAGTATTCGGATAGTCATAATATGAAGTTTGGTGATTTACTGTTTTGTGTACAAAATCTCGATTTGTGATAAACTTGTTTCATACCCAAATGTTAGAATGAAGTTTTGACCCTGCCTTGTATTTGAGTTTTATAATCCGTAGTAGACTGTGATTTCGGTTATTAATTATGTCGAAATCGATGTCTTATAAGGAAAAAGAAGCTTTAAGTATACCTCTATAGTATTTCCTTTCGTTCACAAAACAAACTTCGTCAATCTAAATTGCATTTTATACATTTCCAATTATTTTTTCTTTAGTTTCTAAGGTATTTATGCACACTTCTCAGTTCTCGAACAAGTTGAACCAGTCTGTGATACATTCACATACTACTTCTTTCTGTTTGATCTATTACTATTTGTGTGAACAATTCCAGTATGAACATAAATATGAGTTCAATAATTTGATTACGTATTACCCTACTGTTGCAATGTAGGTTCGTGCCGGTAAAATGAAATAAGTTGTTATCCGTCTGAGACCATCTTGTTTTTCGACAGTCTTCTCTTTTTGGGCATTAAAAATAGCCATTTATTGCCCATTACAGCATTTCTTCGTTTTACCTGCATTTCGGTTCCGCATTCATAAAAAGGGGCGTTGTTTTTAGAAATTTTTAATAATTCTTTTTAGTAAAAACAGATAATACATGAATTCATTTGACACTACCATATAAAGAATAAAACATCATCACGACCATTACAATTAATAAATTATGTACAAAAAATAATAGTGTAATGTAAAATATATTAGAAACGAATATCCGCCGCGAACCAACTGAACTTAAAATCAGTAACTGCCTGTATAGTATCACTAAATTAGTGCCCAAGCACTGGGATAATTTAGGCATTCTACTCTAATCTAAACAATTGTAATGAATTTTTATAGAGCCTATACGTAAAATAATCATACCTGCATAATATTTTACAACACAATTACCATATATAATATGTACACGATAATTAATGATAATTCATACTTAACAAAACAGAATATACTTTATAATTTTATGATAATAATTAATTTAGTGACTATTTTAAAAATTGCCGCATGTTTGGCCTTATATGTTTAAAATGTTGATGTATGGATATCATTTGTATGAACAAAAATCATCACAGTGCTAATATATATTATAGTATTATTATTTATTGCAATATAATATTTTAAGTTTAAGGTTAGTACGACTCAAACCTTACAAATTTAATACATATACGTAATATGAAAATTCTTTACATGTCAAATATAAATAAAGAAAAACAACCAAAGGGCTTCAATTCAAATTACACCCTTTTGATAAAATATAAATATAAATATACCTACAATACAATAACTTAACATGTTCACCAAGAACATAGTTTTACCCATTACTTAACTTTACATTTTTAATAATAATAACAACAAAACAGTATAACATGGATTTATTGTGTTATATACATAATTATAAAACTATTATTTAAATATTTTGAATAACTAATACGGTAAAAAATATTTATGTTATACACTAGAAAAAAAAATTTTCGTGGGTAAAACGCCAATCATACATCAATTTATATTTAAAGTAATACATTTACAATGATACATTAATACACTTAGTTTATAAAATAATGTTTCATATTATTTTGATTCTTCAGTCTTTATATTATTTAATTGTCTATACAACTATAATATAATTTTCGTTTAAACAATTACTTTAAAATATCGTTAAATATTAATAAATAAAAATTTAGATTTAAAAAAGTATAGATTTAGTTCGTGTAAGAAATAAGAAGATGTTAACGCAATATATGTTTACTCTCTCTAGCTCACGCGTAACATAGAAAAAACGCATTTACGTAGAATCATTTTTTTTTTTTTAAATGTTTTTAAGTAATCATAAAGTAAAAACATATATTACAAAAATTATAGAGGGTACCTAATATTTTTGAGAGTTTAACATATCGGTTTTATATTTTCTTATTATTTAACTTAGTATTCAACTTTGAAAAAAAAAAAAAAATTATTCTGCGTAAATGCGTTTTGTCTATGTTATGCGTGAGCCAGAGAGAGAAAACAAACAGTGAACTAACATCCTCTTAAAAAAATATAATATATTATATTTATTAAATTTAAGACACTATATAGACAGACTTTTGTGAAATTTAGAATTTTAGTTTAATTTAATTATATTTATTTTTAATATTCAAGAATTTAAGAACATTTTATTTAATATGTAAATTTAATTCTTTTTAAATATGTATCTGTAGATTTTTTCTCCATATCTACCTTTAAAAATTGATGTGATCAATAATAATACTTGTTATTAGATTATTAAATTTTAATAATTTTATACCATAAGGGTAATCTATACATTTTTTTCCTCTTTTACCCGACAAAAAAAACTTAGTTAGAAAATTCATAAAAGGTAACTAAATAATCAATTTATCAAATTTAATATTTAATTAATTGAGATATTTTTGATTACAAGCGATCCTCTCCCTTCTACATTCACATTCTGTTATGTTGGCACAGCAGTTGTACTTTTAAGTTTTATCACACTGCTATTGATGACTATAATAATTTAAGCTTAAAAATATCATGATTTAAAATTATGAAAAAACATACAATATGAACCAATTTATATACTATAATTATACGCTACTTTAAGGTATTTAGTGAAGTATAGGAGAAATGTAAATTCACTTGAAATATATAGGTAATACCTATGTAGTTTTTGGTTATCCGAAAAATTGATAAAAATATGTAAAATACTTTGTAAAATAAATAATAAAACATATTCTTTTTTTATTCTATAGATTTTTTCTACTCCAGAGAAAAAATTCTTAGAATAATAAAACGTAAATCAGACATAATTTCTAGTCATTAAAATTTAAATACTTTTTTAGAATCATTTCTATATTGATAATAATTATTATTCGTCTTTAATTAGATAGAATATCGACTTTGGATTATGAAACCAATTACGGTTAATTCAAATATTTAAATTATAACCCATAATTTCAGTGAGAAAATAACACACAACATTTTTTTTTTTGGAATGAACATTAAACCTAATATTTTATAATATAATACAGTTTGTAGTTTTTATTAACAATACAAGTATAATGAGTAATGAATAGTAATTTGTAAGGTGTACACATTTTGGAAACATGCGGCAACACTACGGGTTACAAGAATTGAGCAACCAAGCAACTGACACACTATAATAATAAGTGCAAGTACAAAAATATAAATAAATAAATATAAGTAGTAAAATAGTCGTCAGCCTTTTTCGAAAAAAAAAAACAATATGGGTCTTGAAGGGTAGTGTCGATTGCTTAAATGTTATGATATTATAATTTATATCATCAGCTTATCTGATAACGGTGACATATCTTTAAACAACAAGAATAATAACCTAATAATTTATACAATAATACAGTCGAAAACAAGTAAATAAAATCAAACACGATGGGTGGCACACGATCAATTAATTACGTCATCGTACGACGGCGTGCTGGTGTGTACTGTGGAACGGTGTTCTAGGGAAATATAGATTAAATTTATTACATTTCCAGCTTTCGATGTGGTGACTATATAGAACCCGTCATCGTACACAACTTCGATTTTTAATCCAGCGATAATAATATTGTAACGACCACAGTAATTTCGACTGATAAAAAACGTAACATGTTTCTTTCGATGTACATAAATAATATGATCTATGAAGTAAAATACAGAGGCTGTTCACAGCAAAGCCGTGCACGATGAAAAATGTCAACTTTTTTTTTTTCTTTTAAACCTAACTCGTGGTATCCACACGAGCATTCGATTCAATGAATTAGCTGTGAGACGAAAACGATGTACGTTTTTGGCTATTTAAAATAGCACCGTACTATGAATACTTAACTATGAAAAAATAAATAACCCAAATGAGTAACTAAAAATGATATCACGTTAAAAATAATACGGTCGGGGATGTTCGTACGGTGCCGGACGTCTACGACCGTTGACCCCGACACGTCCGGAGCAATTAATAGGAGAAAAACCTTTTTACGGGCATTAATTTTTGATTTCAGATTAAATTATTCTTCTGGTTTATTTTTTTTTGTATCTAACTCTTTTAGAAAATCATAACAGATAACAGTTAATGACGAACAACACTGCGGTCGGTCATTACAAACTTTAACAATATTTATATTATCGAGAAAACAATATCGGTATTTACTGTGTGACGGCGAAGATGCACTACTTACTTGCAGCGAAATGGTTATTTATATTTCCGTTACACTATGTCTATTCAAAAACGGTGTTTACGGTCTCCGTGGTGCTGACAGGATCTTAACGCGGTCGCGGTGCAATGACGATAACGAACCGATAACAAAACAACACCGCATCGCCAAAACGAGACTGTTCGCGTCGGTACTCGGTGAGTCGTGACACGTGTGTGGTAGGTTTACGTCCGGTCGGCCCGCAGCGGCGGCGACGGCGTGTCCCGTCGGCAGACGGCGTGCAATACGCCGAACGGCAGTGCGAGAGAGTATGACATATTGCACGTACGCACACGCGTTTGTTATTGTGAGAGAAAAAGAGTGAGCGAGATAACAACGTCAATCGAGTGGGTAAACAGTGCGGGAAGAAAGGTGAGAGGAGAGCCGGCGAAAAAAAGAAGTAAACAAACACGAATGAAATAAATGCGTCGTCGAGCGAATTTGAAGGTTATGTTTTTATTTTTTTTCATGCGGGGTGGTCGAGTACGCCAGGGCCGCCGCGCCGGATATCAATCGCGCAACGATACGGTTAGTCCCTACACCCCTTTTTTATGTGTAGATATTAATATACAACCTAATAACAATATCAATATTTGTGCACTCGAGAGGTTTCCCTTTCGATTGTGGCTTATACTTTCATTTTTTTTTTCGAAAGTTCGTTCCTGATAAGGTAGAAAAGTATCCCTCGAACACCATTGAATAGAGGTAAGAAGACTAGAGAAGTCGAGAGTTTTAATGTCTATGATCCACATACTTACATAGTTACATCTTGTACAATGCCTTATTCTACACTTTATAGCCTGTAACGTAATATATTACTTATACTGTTACTAGCATAATTTAATTTAAATTCTAAGATGCCTACCATTTTACTCGACAAGGATTTATTAAAATAATACGCTTTTCAATAATCGGTGCCGCCATCTACGCGAAACGCCTGAGTAATTCTGGACGGCCTTTACGGTTATTTTTTGCTTATTTCTCATGCGATGGCTAAATCACGGACTATTTTGTTCCGCTATTGTTCAATGTAGAGTTCAATTTTAATCCTAGTTTTAAAATTATGTTTAGTAGATCGGCAGCTGGTTTCAAATTGGTCTTTCACGTGCATCGTTTAGTGGTTCGAAATTGTAAATTTTTTTTGATAACTATAACCTACGTTATAATTGATATTTCGTGACTTTATACGATTTCGTAATTCGTATCAACACTTAAAAAAATTTTAAAAATAGGTGAAAAAATTATAGCTCTACTATCTGTACAATAGTAGTCAAGTGTACCAGTCAACAAAATCTAAAACATAAAAAAAATTCGTACTTAATATTTAACATATACAAAATACAAAGTCGTGGGGGGGGGCTACAGGTTAGGTTAGGTTAATACAAATGTTTTATTTTTATCGAATTTTATAAAAAAAATTGAAATTTAAGCACTTGTAAAAAAGAATCGTATTTATTTATTTTTTAATCGATTAATAAATAATTTATATAGCATCATATTTTAAATTATCAAGCTTTTTGACCAAGCTCAAAAATCCTTATCAACACTTTATAAATTAATACCTATGCAAGCCCAGTAAGCAACCAACAATAGGTACTATATCTACTAAATATAAAAATGGACTAACAAATAATAGTATTAAGGCACCATTTATAAGGAAAAGAGCAGATTTTCCGAAAATATAAATGATACACTAGACCCAGTAAGATTATTATTAAATAATAATAATAAAATATATCATTAGTGTTTGAGAAATTTAAATACCTTGTCAAAAATATTCAAGGCCATCTATCCCCATTGGAAGTCATAACACAATATATGGAATCGACAACATGCTGACGATCAAAACTTTAGAATTAATAAAACCTGAATTAAAATTGGTGGTTGTTAAAAATCATTTTACACAAAACAAACAATATTGTAAAGGAAGCCGAATCGAACCAAATGTTAACAGAAAGTGAATCCGACACCTACTAAAACCATATACTTAACATTTTCACATTCATAAACTTAAATATTAAATTTATTATAACCAATAATTATTGCAATGCATATAAATATCTAATAATTTGATTTGAAAATTATTATTTTTTTAAGTATAATGTATTTATAAATACAATGCTAGTGGTTTTAGTAGTCAAAGCAGAAATTATATGATTTAAAGACTGATAAAAAAAAATTAATATGCACTTATAAAAAACTTAAAATTTGTTTTGATATTTTCTTTTAATTTCTCTCCTTCCTCGATTACTTATAAGTACCAATAAGAATAACTAGATTCACTTTGCTGTATCATAAAACTAGAAAATATATTAGAGTTGATGATTTAAGTATTTTCACTGCTACAAAAGCTAACGATGGTTAAAAAAAAACTGAATGTATGATTATAAAATCAATATAACCATACATACATTCATTGTGCCACTTGGTATCTAAAATGAAGATGATTTGCAAGTATGCTTGATGGATCACTTGTTATATATTATTAATATTATGAACTTATATTTTCTCAATTTAAATAATATAAGTATTCAGTTAAAAATGAAAAGTATTAATATAATAGTTTATAGCACTATAGCAGGTTTATGCAAGATAGGTACAATGGAAAATATTTTGGTATAGAACTCGATTACGTGCGATCACTTTACTTCTAAATATTAATATCCATATAGATTTATAACTATCTACTTATATAATTTTCATAATTAAACCATAAAATATTTCAAACGTAACCATTAAAATTATCTTATTTTTTATTATAAAATTTGAAAATAAAATAAATATTATTCAAAATAAGATATACGACTTTTTTTTTATGGTTATAGATTCCTCTTGAGATTGACGAAATTTTTGTCTTTGTTTTAACTTGGATCTTCACTAATTTTGGTGTCACTACATATTGTGCTGGTAGGTGAGCAATTATGTAATATAGCAATTAGCTGTAGTAAATAATTGGTTTATAAATGTAGTTTTATGGACTATTAATCGATCTATTTATCGTTCTATTGTTGTTACATAGACAGTTATAGTTATATATTTGTATGGGTATATTACTTGTATAATAAATTATTGTAAATTTATATGATTTGACAACATTGGATATAAATAAAGTTTATTTAATATACAAAATTATATTATGAAAAAGGTATAGTCCAACCGTCGAGTATAGTACGAAAATCGTATTATAACCAAATATTTTATTTACCTATATACCTAAGTTAAGTTTGCAGAGATAATACAGATAATTTGTCGGTTAGAGGCATGTCAACTTTACTATTCTTTCAACTTTCAACAATGCGATTTGGAAGACTACATATTATTAAATTTTGTTGACACAATAATTAAAAAAAAACAGTAGGTAATATTATAATATTTACATATCATAATGACATAATGATATCAAAAGTCTAATGTTCTAAATTTTCTTGATCTGTTATTCATTGTTTTTATCTTTCAGTGTGATTCGTTGTTACATTATGATCGGTTCATATTAAAAATTAAGTAGTAAAGTGATTATCAAGAAAAAATTTATTCCAACGAGATTAAATTATTTATTGTAACAAAAACTAAAAATGCAAATATATCTCTTTGCAACTCATAGCTCTACGACACGGAACACACAACTAAGTGTTTTTTCCAAATACGATTACGGCGATTGCGGTGGTACCGCACGTTAAAACCACCGCATTACACTATATTATTCTTTAGAATTTAATTAATTTAATTAAACAACAATTTATTATTCTGTTAAACACAACTTCACAAGTTTATTGATATAGCCGTTATAGGTGCCACATTTGATAAAGTTTTTGTACGTGATTCGTGTAGTTACTATATACTATATAGCATAGTACAGAATAAATTATAAAATTCATGACGCTCGTTAAATTCGTAAGAAAAAAGTCTAAAATATTAATTTTTACCGACAAACAGATAAAAATACATATTTCTTTTATATAATTTTGAGTTTTGAGGAGAAGGGGTATTGTATGAATTTAAAAACTAGGTTTGCATAATCTTGAGTATTTTAACTAAAACATATTCGTATTATTAGAAATACGTATTTATTGCTGCTTCATGTAAATTTGATTTGGCAGGGGAGAAGGTATTGACTATTCAATATTAGTACTCGTACAATTAATGATATAAAAGTAAAAGGTCTCTTAAAAAAAATTATCATGAAAGGAATAACTTTTAATCTCTCTCTCTTGGGGTATTTCACTGTCTGATATGGTGGCTGAGTTAAAAGAACATTAAAAAAGTGATATTATACAGTTGTTGGTATAGCGACTTTTGACCGGGCGAAATTACGGTTTTCATTTTCTGCTAAACTGACACTCGTTCATTATTATCAAAACCGTTTTCCACCAAAGATTGTATTTGTATACTAATTTCTGTCAAAAAATAACAAAATAAATAATATTATTGTTACAACATAGAATTGTCTATAATTCAAAAAATAGTGCAGGTTTTCATTAAAAACAAAGAAGTTTGTAAATTTGTACGTCATTGTCCATTGGATACTCCTTAAGTATTATACAAAATTAAAGTATTTGAAGAAAAAATGACTCTTAAGTATACTTAAGAATTCTAATAATCTAAATTTGAAATTTGAGTAGATACAAGCATGCCCCCCCACCGTATAGATTCTAATTTTTTAGTGTTTTCATATAAAATGTTTTATATTTCATTTAAAATTAATTTAACCCAAGAATTATTCACATTTTATTGTACTGATAAACCAGAATTTAAATAATAATATTACTTATTAGCTTAAATAGTATTTACATCGTTTTTATAAGAATTAGGCTGAAATTTATTCAAGATAGCCCCCCTCCCCGGAAATATGTTCTAGATCCGCGCCTACTTAGTTATACAGGTTACAGGTATACTACTAAATTAATATGTTTATTAAATTACACTCAAATTATTATGATATATTTAGTATTGCATCACTAATACAATATATATATATATAATATATATATATAATTGATATAAACAATCGTTGTCATAAATCTTACCACTAAATTTGGAAAATTTAGTTATCATTTATACAGGCGAAGATCTATGAAAATATTAGGTGTAATTATTTAATAAAACATTTAGAGCTATCAAGGCAAAAATGACCAAAGATAAGTAACACTACTAAAAAAATTTCTATAACAATCATTTTTAACAGAAAGACAATATATTTATTACTATCAAATAATTTTTTTAAATAAAATAAAACTTTTTTTCAGTTCAAAATATTATTTATTATTAAGTATAATTATTTTTACAAATATGGAAAATATGTAGGTACATATCTTTTTCAAGAAAATAGTTTAAAAAATAGAAAAAGTTTTTCCGATTTGTTTCAACAGTCTGCTATGAATTTATGCTTGGTTTTGTTAGTTGATAAGACAGTACTTATATTAAAGTTTAACGTAAAATATTATTAATATTATTGAATATTGAATATTCAATAATCATTATTATTTTGTTTTTGTATAAATAAATTGCTTTAACATTTGAAAAATATATATATCATATAATTATTAATTACTAAGAAAATTAATTAAGCAACTTTTTTCAGAGGCTAATTCCTCCACCATTAACTTACTTCAGACGTTTATTGATATCGAACTTGGTTAGATTTTAAGAAGTTACATGAATAATGATTTAGTGCTGTTCTCTACCGACAAACATCGTAACTATAATAATTGTTCATAGACAATACGATAGATGATGTCATACTAAGTATTTACGCAATTTAAATTCATACGCACTTGGTATCCTTGAGATTTAAATCACATAATACCTAATAACTAATAAGTGGTATAACTTACTTGTAATATATTATATAGGTACTTATTTTAATGGCATTTCAATTAGCTTCTAGGGTATTTAATGGCATATACTTTTAGTTTCCGAATTCAAATACAATCATGATTGAGTTGTATAATGAAATAATTTTGTCAAAGTTACAATATTTAGGTCAATGCAAATAAGCATATCTACCTACAGATATTCATTTTGTTGGTAAGAACTATAATTATCACGTTTGCGTACATTTTAGATCTAATATACCTAATGTAATCTACTTACATATAAATTATTATAGTGGTTTTATTGTTTCTAGCATATGGTTCCATGTCGTAAAATTTTGGATGAACAGTTAAATTTTACATTAAAAAAATGTGTTTTTTTATCTATAGTGAATCTTAAATTTTTAACAGATAATCTATTCATTTTTATGGATTACTAGATGTATTATTAAAATCTCTCCGGCCCCTGAGGTAATTTATTTTCTTCTGTTTTCCGATTAGTTTTAGTTTAAATGTATAAATTAAACATAATTACAATGAATACATTTTATAGATTTCAACTTATTTATTCTAATTTTATTTTTTATTTGAATACGCAATACTTGAGACAGATTCAACTAATGCTTAAAATCTAATGTAAATTAAATATCGTAAAGATTGGTACTTGTTTTTGTATATTCACATCAAAAATATATCCACTGTAATTAAGAGAGCAAGTCATAAAAAAAATAATTATAATAATTTTGTTCATAAGTACATAATTAATGTTAAGATATGTTTTTTTAAGTATATAAAAAATAAAATAATACAATTTAATTTGCTATGTTTGTACCTACTATATAATTATTATAACAATACATTACTATAATATAATCTGTTTTAATTGGATAATATTTAAACGAATAAAAATATATTCAATTTTCCTTACTCAAAACTAAATTTATATGTGAGCCACAATAGCAAACTTTGTTGATTGAAAAAATAAACTATTCTATAAAAAATCCAAGTCTCAATAAATCTGTTTATATAACTTTTATTGAAAACGATTCTGCAGATTTTGAGTCTATAAAGCACAAATAAAGAAACATTCATTTTTTTTACATAATAGTATTGTAAAAGAATGTTCAAAAAAATATTTTTTCATGATATACAGAAAACTTTAGAAACATCAAACAGTAAATAGATAATTAATTAAATTTACAATTGATTAATTTTGAGATTAATTTCTAGTGTACATTTTATACGTAATTTTATTTAAATTAGATGTAGATGAAATATTTTTTTTCAAGTTGTGTAACTTTATCATATTTGGACAAATGGTCAGATTTAATAAAATTATAAAATATAATTATTTTTCGGAACATTTGCATGAATTTCCATATTTTATCATAGCATTCAAAGCGATGTTATAGTTATAATTCTTAATACGTGCTGATTATTAATATCTACATAATAATTATGCTTGGCTACCTCCTGAGTAATTTTATTCATCTGTTTTTGTAATTATAAATAAGTACTATAACAATTGCAGACTAGCTACATATCAAATTGACAGTATATTATTATAAAACTTCATGAATAATAATAGTGTCAAAATTATATCCATGTTTTTGTTTGGAAATGTTGAATAATTGTAATTTATTTATCACTTACTTATGTGTAATCAATTTATAATATATGTATATTTTTTTTTAATAGGTAATGAAAATGAATATATTTGTATTACATTATTATAAACAAAAAACGAGTTGTGAAACTAAAACAACAAGATATTCAAAGCACTATAAATTTAAAAATTGTTTTTATGAATAGCCAAATAGGTTTTAATGGATAATGATTGCAAGTATAAATATTATTGTAATTGAGATTGAATAAGTAATTGTAGAGTGTAAAAGTAATCTAAATTATTTATAAAACCTGAATTGTACTAAGACTTAAGTCTAAAATAAAATTGTCTGGTAATGTTGAGATTTTGTAATAGGGGATTTGGGAGAGCTTAAGTGTAAAAGTAAAATATATTATGGTGATTAGAGCCAAGTATAGAGAGGATAGGAATTTTAAAGTCGTTATGACTTATGAAGAATGTTCTTTCTAATGTACCATGGAGATTTGATTAATAAATATAATTGACTAGAAAGATTGAAACAAATTTAGATTTGAGATTTAAGTCGATCCTCAAATTGAGATGTTGTGAAATGCTATCGCTTAAAATTTATAAAAATACTATAGATTAAAATTAAAATTTTAAGAATATGTTTTTTCTTAACGGGTTTAAAAAATATTTTGATGAATATTATTACTAGATAGAGGTATAAGAGATAGAAAGCTAAATATATTTATATATTATATAATCTTAGAAGAATCACTTTCAAGAAACCCTTAGTCAAAACAGAATTATTATTCCGGTTAGGTGTTAAAAGTTTTTGAGAAACTTTGGTTTAAAAACGGGAAACTTACTGAACAGCCTAACTGGTATAGTAGGTCGTCTTGAGTGTACTTCGTCATTGAGTTGGCATCACTGTAATGGTGTAATGGATGAGTTAAGATTAAATTTAAATGATAAATCATTGCATACGAAAAACGATTTTGAACAGAGACGGTATATCAGCTTATATTATAAGTTAATTATATTTTATATTGTTATTAGTATATAAATAGTATAAAATAATGAAAAATAATAAAACACATCATATAAAACCAAAGTAGTTAAAGCTCCGCTCAGAATTTAAAGTAAGCAATTTTTTTTTTTTTTTTACTTTAAATATAAAATGAACCTGAATTAATATTTTAATTCAACTAAATTAATATTATAATTATTTTAGTCTATCTTGATAAAATGTATTATAAATTTATAACATGTTGATGCGTTTGTTTTAATAACTGAAGTAAATATTCAATTATTTTATTTGTGTACCTTATATTAGCTTTACGATTTATATTTTTACATATAAATACGCTTATAAATATTTTTTAAAGTATTTTACATCCGTATTAGGTATAAATAAATTATTTATTTAACAATTTATCTTATTTATTGAGATATTTGTATTGAAATAATACTTATATAAATATAGAACAACCATAACAAATTTAAAAAATAAATAAATAAATATAAGTATAATTATATAAAAATAATTTAAAAATAGAACAGTATTTCATTTAGTTGAATATTTTACTATATGGTATTTTGTGGAAAAACTGACGAGTGATTGACTGAAATGCCATTCCTAAAGCTGATTCAAATGCAGGTTGAAGGTCTTTTAAAATGTCTCTCCAATTTTGATTCATGAACATATTCATGTTATTTCCTAAACATGATTATTTTATAGATAAATGACAATTTAATTATTCAATTCACTAAACATATTAAAAATAAAATGTATTATTAACCTAATACTTGATCTCCATTAAATAAATTTTCTAGCTGTATATAAAGTCTTGATGTACTAAATTTTAATTCCATAGATTCTATTTCCATATATTCATCACCTCTTCTTGTAACTGGTTTACCAATTGTGTTAATTGATACTTTCAACCCAGCTGAAATTTAAAATGAATTAATTAAATTTTAGTAAATTTATAGTTGTAATATGATTGTACCCTTTTTAATTTTTTATCGGCAAAAACCATAACGCGCTTGTATTTCATAAAAATAATGAAATATGGGTGTTATCTTTTTAATGATTTTCCTATACACTATTAAAAAATATTGATGTGTGGTAAAATAAACATCTGTGTTTTCCCAGTATATGTATAAAATAAAGATATAACATTTAAATATCGATATTTTATAAGATATCATAAAATAACTGAACATTTAATTTAAAGCACGTATATAGGTCAATGAAGTTTTTTATATATTAACAGAGACGTATTTACGATTTTAGTGACCTAGGTGCAAAAATATATAGGCGTTCTTTTTTTCCCCTAAAAAATTATTTTTTTAAATTATTATTTTTACACATCGATGGTTTATCTAAAAAAAAAAAAAAAAGTTATTAGATAAAAAAAGCTTAGCCCAATAATATCTTATTTTTTCTTGATTATATTTTTTTAGCGCAGCGCCCCCTTTACAATTTGACGCCCGGGGGCGATTGCCCCGTTTCGCCCCCACCTAAATACGCCCCTGTTTATTAATATTCTGAAATACTGTATTGAGTTACTAATAACATAATATGAATTTTTTTTTGTTACAAACCCAAAAAATTATTTTTTTTATTAGTCTTAAGTCTGTAAAAATGGGAAGTAAAATTGTTAAAAGGACCAACACCTATATTTTATGGAACACAATTGCGTTGCGTTTTGTTCACGTTGAAAGGTAACAGGAGCGTAATCGTGTTACAGCGTAAATTTACCCAAAGTTGTTTGATGATAAGTGATAACTTATAATTATAACTATAATCCATGAACATACCTAAGGTTAAATTACTTCTTCCTTCACCTATTATTGGTAGAATGATAATTTTTCCTTGTATATTATACATGCCTTCGAGTACAAGTGGTTCATCAAAATCGGCTTTGAGATTAAATGTATAATTAGTTATACTTGATCTGTAAATACACAAAAATACATTCATATGCTATTACTATTAGTTTTATTATTCCACTAAAAAGAAAACAAATAATAGGGAGTTTGATTTCATCATTGAGTAGGTCATTGTAATAAAGTGTGTAATTAAATTTGAGTTAAATAATTAATTATTATTTACAAAATACGATTCTAAACGAAGATGGTCATCAGACAAAATTTTTAGTATATTTTATTACATATTTATTAAATTGCTATATTGGTAATACAGTAGGTTGTACTTATTTTTTGTAACAACAAATTTAATTATATCATTTATTATAAAATAATTAATATAATATTATTTCATGTTATAGTATTATAGCCTGTTATTAAAGCACCTATAAATCAATACTGATGTATTGTAGAATAGCGTGAATAGGGTTACTGTGTATAACTTGAAATTAATCTAAATATTTTGAAAATGCTGTTTAAAATCGTAAATAAGAATATAAAAAGTAACAAAAAGTTAAAATTATTTTTAAATAATATTTTTCGATTGTTATTTTATGTTTATTTTTATCAATATTTGAACTTGAAATGTCTATAAAAAAAGACACTAATTTTGTATTTTCGAAATTATATTTTTTTGTAAGAACAATTCATGAGGAATTTTGTAAACTTAACAAAAATTTGATACCTTATTGTAATAAAAAATCAAAATCGTGTAAATTTATTTATAAATTGAAAAAAATTAAAAAAACTGCCTATAAATAGAACAAACAGAACCATTATATTTTAAAAATTATATAATGTATATTAAATGCATTTAAAGTTATTAGTTAGTAATTTTTGAATTATAATGAGATAACAAAATTCGAAATTGTTGAAAATTGGTTTTGCTAATTCCACTATCAAAAATACCAAGTACCAACTATTAACTAATTACTTGTTACCAAAAATCATTTTCAATATAAAAAAATTGAAAATTGTTTACTGTTCCTAAAGGTGACACACAAATAAAAAATTCATTGTTTTTATCAGAATCTAAACGTTTTAGGTAAAGAATATATTTATGAAAGTTTGTATAACTTACTTCATTGATGTTAACTTAATAGAACCAATATTATGTATATAAAGATCCTTGAAGCTTAGTTTGATGTCTAAAGGACCATTAGATGTACCTTGGTTTATATCCATATGCGATATTATTAAAGGATCAATTGGTATTAGTCCCAAACTCGGTACTCCTAGAAAATATAAAAACCATTTTACCTTTGATTGCTTATTATATAATATTTGTTTGAAATTTATATTTTATCTGGTGGGCTCGACATTTTTTTGTAATTCAAATATTTCAGTATCATAAATTTATAGTTTGCAGCTTTTGAATTGTGTTGTTTTATTTTTGGTTTGTAAAATCTATAAGATTATTAACAAATTTATTTCACAAGCTTATTTGATGAGTTTTCTAGTTTCAATGTTCATTTAAAAGTATTTTACATAATAGTTAATAAACAACATAAATTTCAATAATTTTTGATATATTATTTACATATATTTAACTAAAACTTTTAAAGGATTTTAGATTTATTAAATTCTGATAAAAGAATATTAATTACCTTTAAGGTTTTATGAAACGTATCTATAAATTAGATATTTCATCAATTTAATACTTTTAAGATGTGGTTTCTGATTTTCTGCAAATGTATAATTATTTTTTCTATACGTAAACAATAACTATTAACATTACAGTAATACTCAAGAATTCTTATTAAAATGTGGTTTTAACTTAACTACTCTTAAAACAAATTTTTAGATGTAATAATTTATAATTGTTTTCTTATATGTATAATAATAATAATTATAATAAATTATATTTTACTATTATATATAGTATATTTATGTTTTAAATTCTTTATTATTAGACGTATTGTACGTCCTTTCATTAATTCGTGAATAAATTATATGTTCGTACTACAATGTATACGTTTATCTTTATTTTCCAACTGTATAACAATATATTTATAGCTCTAATCACCTAAGTACTAAGTTTTAGTTATTATGAAAGTAAAATCATAAAAATGTTTAGAGGGAGAAGTTTGTAGATGTACATTTGTTACAAATTATATCATAAATAATTTGATTGATTCGTATTGAGATTCTATTATGATGATATATGATCAGAATTTAGCCGTCAAAATGTATTTAGGCATAACAAAATGGTTTGGAAATTTCAATTGAAATTAGTATTCTGTATTAAAAGCACTATGATATGTATATTGTTATTATATCGATATGTTGTATACTTGTTATGCTGAACCATCCAAGCGGAAATACATGATTACCACTATTGTCTATTATTAACGAGTACCTATAGGTAAATTGTTCGGTGAGTCAAATATGTGGTTTGATTATAATTTAGGTTTTAAGGATATTTAAATATTATTCTCATCATAATTTAATAAATTATATAAATTTAAACAACATTTTTTATAGTGTTTATGGTCACAATATTTGAGTTTTCACTAGAGTTACATGTCATTATTAGAACTTAGCAATAACATGAACATCACTGGAAATCTTTATTCATGGTTAAGTTTAAAACATAAACATCTTTGTAATTTATTAGTTTATTACCATGTGTATTTTAACCCGTAGCTAGCTCACGTTGCAAATTTTCGGTTGAAGGTGGGTAGAAGGGCCGATTTTAGTGATAAAGTTATTCTGTCCACATTACGTTAATGGGCACCATGTTAATGTCATCACGTACCCATATTAAGTCTTTCGGCGTTCAAGGCTATAAAAAATGTCATATTGATTGCTATCAGTACGGCCAAGAGTCTAGGTTCAAGGGCTTATAAAAAAACGTTTCTTTGATAAGAATCTTAATGTTCTCAGATTGTCGAGAATTATAAAAAAATAATCATAATTTAGGCTTATTATAATTGAACATTCGGAATCTGTATGGAATTTAAATTGTTATCAATCTGTTTACCTTAAACCGCATTTTGAATTATGCTTAAAAAATGTGTTGAATATATTCCAATTCTATGGTCAAACAATGACTAATGTTGACGCAAGTTATTGACAATTTTTTTGCATTATTATGCTGAGCGAATTCTATAACGCAAGGTAATTTTTTAAGGACGTATAGAGAACATGGTAAAAATATAACTACACTGATAATATTTTAGATTTATGTTTGAAAAATAGCTAAGTTTCATGAATTTTTTTAGTATACATAAAAATTTAATTAAATATAAAGGTACATGCATATTAAATGTATTGACTTAAAAGATTAGTAGTATGTTAATTGTGTAGTATTTATTTTTTCCTATAATTTTATATTAATCATTCACATCATTTTGTATTTTATTAATTTTATATACTTAATAATAGTTACAAATTTATTTACTTATTTTTTTTGTATAATAGTACGTAATAAATAATGACTTGGTCGGATATTTAACATTTAATAATTATTAATAAATATTAATTGTTTTAAGTCTTTGACCATTTTTTCAAAACATATTTTTTTTAAATTTTAATTTATAATTGAAAAGCAAGTATAATTTTGTACAATATTTATAAATTAAGATAATATTTTACCTATTTAATAATATAATTATTAATTACATAAGTAGTTGTAGAATACAAGATTATAATATAACACTTTATTAGAGTTCATGTTTATGATAAATTATATTTTAATGCATTGCGATAGTTAGTTCAGTGCTTCTTTTTTGCTTGGAATTACTAAATATGCTATAAATTATGTATTTATAGATATTTTTATATATTTTATATCTATACATAACGTTTTGAAATTAAATAGTTATGTCTCTTAAATAAACTGGTGCATTCCAAACAACTAGGTACTAACGTATAAAAAACTGCTAATATACAAAAATATGTAATGATGTGTTCAATTTGTAACAGCCAATATTACGTATAAAACAGAACTTATTGCTTTGTGCAAACATCTTACATCATTTTTTGTGCGTTTAATTTTAGTTGTCTGATCGAATAAAATCGCATGGCTTAGATATAAAAGAATATTATATTGTTGTTTTCATAAAATTTACTATATCGTAGTAAAAAATTTAAATAATGTTTTCATAATAATCTATTATTATATATCGTATGTGTAAATACTAAGTAAGAATTGTAGGTAGTGACTTTGGCTTACCTTTGACTAAATGTGGCACCGCTGATTGCAGGGCTTGTTGAATGCACGTGTTGACGCCGGGGTCATCTTTTTTGCACGTTATGAATCCCTTGGCTGAAAACAATAACAATCATCGGTGGTCATATAAAATATAAAATATGTTCTAGACAAATTAAATTACAATGTTGTCTTAAAACAAAATAATATATATGTTATATATATTATATAGGAATATTATAGATGAAGGGCTAAGGGTAGGTGTAGTACTACTCCTATATTTAGGTATAGTAGCTAGGTAAGGTATAGCTGCAGCCGGAGATACTCGATTGCGTCTAAACCGTCATTGATACACAAAACAACGTATCAAAGTATAAATAAAATAGATACAGATAATAAAAATACAATTGTACAGTATTTCATATTTTACATAAATATAAAGTTTTAAATATTAGTCTAACTTTTTTCATGAGTTAACTTTTAATAGTATAATTTTCTAAAGTTTAAAAATACATTTTTTATGGAAAAAATTAATAATATATATATAAAAGTCTTAACCATAAGGTATGTTTGGCATAGTCTTAAAATTAAAAGAAAAATTAAATACACTCAGATCTAAAGTAAAAAAAAATTAGTTAACTTAATTTTACATGAAAACTTTATGTTGCTAAAATATTTGTGCCGTATAGCTGTATTTAATTTATATCAGAATACATAAGACACAATTAGGATATTTGTATTTAGTTTTTAATAATTATTGAAAATATTTTTTCTACATATTTTGTACGGGCACACAATCGGGATTTAAAAAAAGAAAAGAAAATCACTTTGGTAAATGAACAACTAAGGCGTGCTTCATTTTAAAATTTTGCGTGGAATCCAAAAAAAAATTTACCAATATTAACCATGATCAGTGCCGCTCGAAAAATAGGTACTTTCAGATTTAAAAATTACTATAAAACATAATTAAATTTTAATAATTATTAGTAGTTTTTATTTAATGCAAATAAAAACAAATAGAGCTTTTTTAAATGCAAAAAGATTATTATTTTGTTTTTCAATAAATTATTATTAAACAAAAAAAAAAATTCAAAAGATAGTTTTAAAGTATTTAAAATTTTCTTTAAATTTATTGTCTATAGCTCTAAATAATCGATATTCAAAAAGTGATAATTTATTTATTTTGAAACTATGAAAATGTTATTTTTTGTATAAAAAAGCATATTCTATCAATTTCAATAACAAAATATTTTCATAAGTTATTATGAAGAACATCAAAATATAAGATGCAAATAATGTACATTTTTGTATCTTGCAAATGATGCCTACACGAAAGACACGTTCAGGATGTATTTTAAACTTACGTAATTTTACAACGGATGCTGCGGATAATGTCGTTTTGAAAATCGTGTACACTATACAGCACAGAATGACCAGCGTGGTATCACGTCTCATCGTAGTCATGATGGTAAATATTACAATATACGTATAGATGTTTGTTGGGCCGACGTCGCAGCGGTTTTCGTTCACGCAGTTTAAAAATTATATTTAAAAGAGTAATTCGACGACAAACTTGGATCTACTGATGCTCAACCGTCGACAGCGATCTGATTTATATAAACATATTATGTACAATAGAATATACTTTCGATTTTTCGAGTAGGTAATAATAATAATAATATATACCCACCAACAGCCGTATGCATGTGTCTGTCATTATCGGCGTGCACGTCTTGACCTTATGAGTTACAAAAAAGTATTGTGTTTCATTGTCACGGGTACGAAATCCGACAGTCCGGTTCTGGTATAATGATGATTATTATTTCAATTCGGCTGGGTGACTTCTGAAATTGGATAAATAAAAATAATATATGTCCAGGAAGACGGACATTTGAACGAAAAATAATTAATCATACTCTTAATATCATCATACTATTATGTTAACATAACGTGGTTTCGTTTGTGCCATACGACTATCGTGGCTATGTACAATTATTGAAAATGCTTTATTTATATAGAAAACGAATATCTTTTCTTATATTCTCATTTGATAAATTGTCGTATAATTCGCGTCTTTCAACAACATGCATATGACGTATACTATTAGAAAATTTAATGGTTTTCAGTATTTGCAATAATAGTATTCAGTGAAAATAATTGTACGCCAAGTGAACTACAGGTATTAAGAGTTTATTGTAGGAGGTAAATTCATAAAATGAGTGTTGTAATTAAATACTTCATACTTTAACATTAGCTATAAGTAGTCTTTTCAATTAACTTTTATCATTAAGTGCATTAGAACAATTTAAAATGATCTAAAACTAAACTGTTTATATGTACTTGGTTTTATTAAAATTTTCATTTTTTTTTTAAAGTTTTATATTTTAATGTTTTAACACTTAAAAGGTATTCAATTACACTGTACAAATACAAGTAAAATATTAATAAATACGTATAATATATATTTTTAGTAAATACATTTAATTAAAAATTTGCAAATATTCGTTCATTTAAATATTTGTTCATTATAAAAATATGCATATGATAATTATATACCCTATTTTACCCATTTATATTGAACAAACTACCTATGCATGGCTCGAGTAAAGTATACAAAGTACATATTTCATTGTCTAAAATAAATATATTTACATAATATATTACTGAACATAAAATTCACAATACTAATTAAATACATTAGTTCCTGCATTTTTTAATTATATACATATTTTTAATATTTTGTTTATATTTTTATTATTAATTTAAATAAAGATTATTATTTCATTTCAAACAATACTACTGAAAATAATATATTATACTTTAATACATTACTATAAAATATAATTCATATTAGGTTATTAGGTATACAATATATAATGCGTTAGTTAATTGGAATGTCTGGTAACCCTTGTTTATGACGTAACGCGAATATTTGAATGCAGTTTTATTTAATATAATTTACATGAGTTATAGCCACATTTTTTTACCGTTATTTACAAAAATAACTTAAATATTTTAAGATTAAAAAAAAAAAAATGATTAGTCGTACTACTGTGCCTTGTATAATTGACCCTGGTCGAATTGAAATGTATCTCTCCATCATGAGACTTTTACTAAATGTATTTACTATCACTGTTATATAATATGCAATGTTAGCACATGTCTATCATTATCCTATTAAAAATAAAAATATAAAATAAAATATATGATCATTAAATTCAAATAAAAATATTGAAATTAAAAAAGGGGAAAGTAGGTAACCAGTAGCCTATACAGTAGGTGTTGTCGTATGTTAAAAAAGTATATGAGTGATGATGATCTGCCAATTAATAATATTTTTTATTGTTTAATTGTAGTAGTATATTACGATAGGTTGAATTAGTTTTTCGAAAAGTTTTTTGTATTTATCAAATAATTATTTATTATAGTAGTATAATATACTATTATATAATTGTATTTATATCAAATATTTTTATTTTTATTAAATTTTGAGTTATTACAGACTTATTATAGAATAGTTATGACTTATGAATAGTTTTTAGTATAAATAGCTTATACTATATTTGTTTAAAAATAATCTAAACGTTTTGAAAATTTCATTGTATATATGTAAAAGTTTCAAGTTCTTACGATTCAAGAATACAATGTATTTTTGAATTAAAAAAAAGTAACTAAAATTATTATTATTTTATTTAAATATCTAATTTTGTTCAAATTTACACGTCAAATGTGTATAATAAAAATGAGTTTTAATTTTTTATATTTTTTGGTTTCAGTATGAAAAATCTTATATTCAGTTTTTAAGCTTCAGCTAAAAAATTAAAAATTTTATACATTTATAGGTACAAAAATGGTAGCAAATTTTAGTAATTTTTGAAAATTTTTATAAAAATTTGAAATTTAAACACTAATTAAAAAAATATTTCCAATATATTTTAAATATTTTAAATTTACAAAAAATAACTAATAAGCTTTTTGATTGAGCTTCAACAATTTTATCAATACTTAAAAATTTAAAAATTAGTATTAAGGTATAAATAGCAGCTTGAGTCTAAATTTTAATAGGGTAAATAACATGTTAATTAAAAAAAAAAAAACAGAATTTGAGTTGTTTATATGATTAATATGTGTTTTTTGAATTGCAATAAAATAACTAAAACCATTTGATAAATTATGAGAACAAGTTGTTTTAATCATGAATATTCAAATTCATCAAAATTTAAATTTCAGATGCTCATAAAAAGTTGTTTTAAGTTATTGTTTAACTAATATAGTATGTCCTTTAATTTTTTTTATTTATTTTTTTTATCAGTTTTATTATTAAATGTTTTTAACAAGGTCATCTAACTTATTGATAATGTTAATTAACATTTTTAACATTTTAACAATTGATAATGCATACCTGATTATTTACAACAAATTACAAGGATTTAAATTGATAAATATATAATGGTACAATAGAATAGAATAAATAAAAATTAATTATATGTGTTGAAATAGGGCATCATGATGATGTCTACGCTTGGAGCATATCCCGTTTCCACCATAAAACCGGTTACCTGATTTACGCATAGCCCTTTTCCGCCAAAACAAAAAAGGTATGGTTTTCGTTTCCACCAAAATTTATTTTGGTGAAAAGACGTTACTCCTAATTATTGTTTAGGAACCATGTACAAATGTACCTTTTGTTTAAAGTATTACATTTTTTTTTCAAAATATAGGCCGTACACTTTTTCATGAAACATCTTCACCGAATTATTTTTGTTTTTGACATATAACCAAAAAAATATTTCAAACCATCAAACATCAACATTTTTTTACCTTTTTTGCTTACAAAAAAGTCTGTTGTATCAACTGTTTGATGAACAAAACAGATACTGAATTAAAATAAAAGAATTTATCATTTTTCATATAGGTAATTATTATATGTGAATTATAAATAAGCTATGATACAGTTTAAGTTTCCTTTCGTTATAGATGAATGATGATTATAAAAAAAAAAAATCGAATATTATTGTTGTACCTATGATCTTTACAATTATTTACAAATATCATTGCTAACATAGTACATTACTATATTTTATACTTATTATAATATGTTTAACTTAAAAATTAAAACCATTGGTTTCCAAAGTTTTTTAGGTGGAAACGTCTTTTAGCAGAAAAAAGCTATGGCAGAAACAGGTAATTACCTGCGCTTGAGCCGCCGGAAGGAAAGCTCATTATTGAGTTTGAAGTATTTCACACTTTTTACATTGTTTAGTTGTCCAAAGAAGTTTATTGTGAGATTTTGTATATAGTTTTTAATTGTTGGGAGTTTGAAGTCAGTGTGAAGTGCTTAATTTCTGATGAATCAAGGTAATTTGGATATTGTATGAATTATCTTGGATTGAAAGCATTGGTTTTATTTATGTGGATTTTGGCACAGTTTCCCCAGATGGAGGCAACATGAGTACTAATGATCTTAGAATTTGTTTGAAAAGAAGCAGGAAGTAATTCTAGCTTAAGGCTGTTTGATGGTTAGTTAAGGGGTACAGAATTTTAAGTTGTTGGTAACCTTGTTGAAGTTTCGAAGAAATGTACAGGTTTCAAGTAAATTTTTTTATCCAAGATAACTCCTAGATATTTAATAGTTAGAGATGCCAGGATATGCTATCACCATTAAATACTAGAGTAGGTGGAGTTTTGAGACGACAAAGTGTGAATAGTACTACCTATAGTTCTTTTGAGGGGTTTAGAATAATTTTCCATTTTTTCACCTAGCACTTTATTTTGTTTAATAGTGACTGTATATTTTCAGTGATAATGTGACTTTTATTTCTTAAACGATATATTTACTAAATAAAAGTAAAAAAGTATTATTATTTTTCAGATTACCTACAGTATACTTTTAATCATTAATTCATTGAAATAATTGTAAAGGTAGGTTAGTAATTTTAGTAGTTATGTTATCTCAGTGCAAATATGCCAAATTTACGCTTATAACACATTAATCTATGATCGAATAAAAATTTTTATTTAAATATCAGGGCTTAATTATTTCTTCTTATATTTGTCTATATTTTAGATTTTGATAATCTTTAAATTATTTTTTAACTAAGATATTGATCAAATAATTTTCACACAATTTCAATATATTTTGTAGTGTACTTTTTATTTTTTAATATTTCTCATGACAAATTGTCAATAACTTTAAAGTTTGTGCGTTAAGATTTTCATCACAAATAATATAGTTAAATGGTTAAAATTTTTTTAATTAGTTTTAGTTTTGGTGAAAAAAAATATACCTATTTATATAATCTATACAAAGAAAGACAATACAATTATAACATTGGAGTTAGAAACAGCTAGTAAGTATTTATATATGTAATGATCTATGAGTAAGAAAAAATAAGGAAAATATTTTGTTTATTTATGTTGTGAATATATAATATATTACATTAAAATGCTTTTATAATATTTTCTTATCTACATTTATGACTTAATTTACTAACTGTAGTTTAGGTACAAGAACAAGGAAGTTAAATTTATCTAGATATTTAGTTTTTTCGTTTATATTTAATGGTTTTAATAATATTCTTTCCTTTTTATACGATTAATCATTTGGTCATTGAATAATTAAACTATTAAAGTAAGTAGAAGTTTGGTTTATTACACGCTTTGTGTATATATTGTATAATGACTGTATTAATTCCGACATTAAAACTCATCTAGGCATTTAAAAAACATATAACCTTAATTTTGTTTTTTATCATGGCTTGTGTGTAATAATTATAATCTATTTATTTTATTAATGAATCCCTTTATTGTTTAACTAATTAATAAAAAAATATTATTACAGTTAAATGTATATTAATTATTACTAAAAATACATGCTAATTCATTACAAGTTATAGTCATACACTGTATGCCTTAGTATGGATTAAGTAAAGTTTAGGTGGCTGATGAGACTTCGCAAAATAACCTATAAGAAATGATTCTTTGTGATTATGTTAATATAATTGAAACAATGTGCTCATCAAATAAATGTTTAAGCATAATAAATTATTATAATTCATGTATAGCTACGTGTTGTACAAGTTATTCGATCAATCATCTATCAGCCTTTATAATTTATTCTGTAATAAATAATTATGAAACTAAAATAATACAGTTTATTATTAGACTAAAGAAAAAATGTAAAATTACGTAGATAGGTACCTAAAATTTAAATCCTATACTGATCATATACAGTGCTCGGGATTGGTAAATTGGGTCTCAAATGACTTTTTTTGGTAAATTGGGTCCCGAAAAAAAAAAGGTTGTATGTAAGTTGAGTCCCCAAAAAAAAGGTTGTAGGTAAGTTGAGTCCCGGAAAAAAATATATAAATTAAAATGTATGTGGTTTTTATAATATTATGTTCTCAATAAATAATATATGGTATAAATGATTAAAAAATTGTGTACCGGGAAAAAAATGTTAATACGCTAAATAATATAGTACGTAAAATTTTACAATATGTGGTATAAATAATATTAAAAATATTAATAAGCTAAATAATAAAGTATGTCAAATTTTACAGTATATGGTATAAATAATATTAAAAATGTTAATAAGCTAAATAATAAAGTACGTCAAATTTTACAATATACCTGTTTATACACACATTAACATCATGCGTAGAATTAATTGGTGTCCAGACGGTGTACCACACTGTATGCAATATGACGTATTATTGTAACAATTATTTAAAAGTAAATTATATAAATATGAAATATTAAAGTTTTAAATATTTTAGGCCTAATTGCGCCAATGATTTATAGCCGGGAGTCGGGACCCAACTTACCTATTACCTTTTTATAGCCGGGACCCAACTTACCTACTACCATTTTATACCCGGGACTCAACTTACCGTTTTCAAAACGAACCCAAATTATCGCGGACCCAATTCATCTAGCTCCACAGTGCTAAACATTTCACCTACGGAAATTAATGCATTTAAATTCAGGATTAAAATGACAAATACGAGATTCATCACAAGTAGGCAATCTAACCAAATAATTCGTAACATTTTCAGCTATAACACATAAAATATTTATGACAAGTGTTCAAGTTTTTAACCGTTTTCATATTTGTTTTATTACGTATAAATGAAAAACGAAAATGACAAAAACACGTGCTATACATCTATTATAACTAATATAGTAAATTTTTGACAAGTTTAAATATCATAAAATAGTAAAAATAGATTCTTATCGGTCTAGCTTATCACAATAATATATATGGAATGAAAAAATCTCAAAATATATGTACTCATTGTTGAAAAAAATGTCAATTACCTACTAGGTTTTGTTATAGGTAAACATGAAAAACTTGAAAATATATAAATATGATAAATTATAATTTTATATATTTATCTTAAAGAAGTAATATATTCAGCAAAATTAAATTCATTACTTTTATTTTTAAACACTGAAATTTGAAATATATAGATATATAATTTTAATTTAGACTCCGTTTATAGTTCTAGTAAGATGAATTCTTTGTTAAGAAATATATTATAAGTATATAATATGTGTATCTATTACTAGTATACTGTATAATTATTATGCCTATATTTCACAAAATTGAATATAAATTTAACACAATATGATTATTTTAGCTAATATGGCCACTGCTTAAAATAATATACAGTTTTAATATTTTAAACCACGAATATAGCGTTTACAAATTAATAAATTAAATTGTCATGGTTAATTTTTGAGTAATCACTATTATTTTCACGAATATTGTTCGATTTCAAGTTTACCTTTCGTTAGTTTGGCTCCTGCTTGTGTACGAATCAGTCCTGTGAGACCCCTACACAGCTTCAGATTTTGCTACCATAGAGCGAGTCTATATGTGTTTTCTCTTCTATATCAGTTATGTATTAGATATTCCCTATTCATTTTATGACTATTCTATAGTTCTCCATGAGCTAGTGAGGTCTGTTATATCTGGTTGGTAGATGAATAAACAGCAATATAAAGCTCCTTAAAAATTTTATTGATGGTTCTGCTAACTGCTAACGCTCCTTTTCCTTATAAAATTTCGATTCATTTCATGTGTAACCCATTCTTTTGTCCCATTTTCTGTTTCTAAATGTTCTATTAATAGCTACAGTCAGAATAATTAAATTGATAGATTAAAGTGTCTAGCTAACACCCACACTTTATTACCTAGTTTCGTTTCATTTCTACTAAACCTATACTATTTATAAATATTTATTGTAATTTAGGCCATATCCGTATTTAATAAAATTAAAATATATAAATAAATTAATAAATATTCAATCAAATTTAAGCCCCACGGCTTAAATAATATTTAGATGGGTATTGACTGTTAAGTATTACTTACTTTAATAGGTAAACATGTATACATGTACTATACATAAATATTTGATTATTATTTTGGTATATTTGGATAGTTAATGGTAAGTATACTTGATTTATTTCATATCAAAATAATACGGATTAGGTGGTTTCTAGTTTTACCAATGGTGTACATACGTGTTTATAATATTTCGACGTTCTTATTAATACTTGCGATATTTAATTATTATTATCATACTTTGTTTTTAAAACTTTATATAAAAAGCAATATTTGTTTTTTTTTCATGATATTTAATGTAGTTGAAATATATCAATTTGTGGTTAAAATAAAATAAGACAAATGATTACAAAAACGAGTTAACACACGTTTATTTGTTTAACACTAAAAGTAGGTAAAAAAAAAAAAATAATAATAATGTATATAAATTATATTATATACCTATATGTATATATAAATATAATAAATTAATAATACACGTTTAAAAATACAATAAAGAATCTTAATGGTCTATTCAATAAAAACTTGGTTATAAGGTACTCTAGAAAAGAATTGTTGTGCAACTCCAGAGAATGCGGCAGCCAAGGCGCTCTCAAAATTGGTTTGTAATTCAGCTAATATATCTTTCCAATTTTCATTGAGGAACGTGTTCATATTGTTTCCTATAACATAATTTTTTTTATTATATTCACGTCCTAAATTAAATACAGTTCATTGATTATATTGAATTAAACATTTTAACACATTGAAAATACAACATTAAAATATGTAATATGTCAAATGTATATATTGTATTTAAAAAAAATTACTGTGAATACACAGAAATTTATGTTAAAAAAATTCACTAACCAAGAGCTTTATCTCCTTTAAACAAATTATCCAATTTAATATGCATTTTGGTGGTAGTAAACGTTAATTTTATATCCTTTACATCTACGTAGGTGATACCGTTTCTTACTACAGGGTTTAAATACACGTTTATCTTGGCTTTGAGATTATCTATAAAATAAAGGTCAAAATTAAGGATTTAAATTTTAAGAATAAAAAATAAAAAATATGTATGCATACCAAGGCTAATCTTGCAAATACCATCACCGGTGATTGGTAGAATGATAATTTTGCCTTTAATGTCGTAATTTCCATCGAGCGTAATAGGTTTTTCAAAATGTACATCCAATGCAATATTATTGTTATTTAGATCAGCCCTGAAATCACAGAAACCATTCATTGTATTGATTTATATGAAAAAAATAGTTACTTATACTTACAAGATTTCATTAATTTTTACGGTTCCAATGTTGGATATGTCTAAATCCCTAAAGTTGAGCTTGATGCTAACAGGTCCAGTACCTTGGTCTATTCCCAATGCCGTTATACGAAGTGGATCAATTGGGTACAATCCAAAAATAGGAACACCTAAAATGTATAAATAAATAAAAGTACTTAGGGGCAAAACATAAAATACAAATATGTACCTTTAACTAAATGTGGGATGGCTTTTTTCAGAGCATTCTTTATACATTCGTTTAACTTTGGGTCGCTTCTTTTACACTGCACAAAGTCTTTTGCTAAAATATAAATTAAAATATTTAGTTAATTTTCATACACATATAAAATAATATTGATATGTATTGTATATAAAAGCATGAAGTCGTACTAAAAAAAATATATTTTACATCGTACCTAATTTTGCTATGTTTGAATATACTATTTTTAACTAAAAATAGGTTACACTTAATTACAATGTTGATTATATTGTAGATATATATATATATTTATAATGGTTATGTATAGGGACTTAATTTAAATATAAATGTAAATTTATATATATATATATATATTTTTTTTTTTGAGTAGTTTAAGTAAAATTGTAGACTATTATATTATTTGAAAAGAAAAAGTTTGTTTATATACAAAAACAACAACTTAATATCATACAATATTAATTATTAATTGATTAAAAATAAAAATAAAATACAACATTGTGTAAGTATTTAAATTTAATGAATTCAATTTTTAATGAACATATCATGTTAAATGGATTGCATACTTGAATATACTTATATTGGTATCATTTGGAGGCTATCACAAAATAGATATACATTGGATAAAAAAATTACTTCAATTATGTCATTTAAAAAAAAAATTTCAATGTTTTTTTTTCTATAATTTTACGAAGAAGTATTTATTTATATTCATTTTTGGTGGGTGAATATGTAATCTTAAAAATGTAATAATATATTTTTAAGATATCGAATTATATTTCTAGTATTTAACTGTAAAGACTTTGACCTGGAGACCTTGAAGCAATACACCAAAATTAAGGGGGCTGAACGTCTCATATAAATGTATGTCAAGACTCAAAAATATCTAAATATTAGTAACCTTGTAATACTATCTTAAGTTGCGGAAATAAAATAGAAATAAATAAGAATATTTAAAAAAGTATAATATATTGATTTTTTTAATAGTTTATAGTATAATATTATGATAAAACTAATGATTAAACGAGCACGATAACAAAATTAAATAAAATAAACTTAAGGTTTAATTTTAACAAACAATGTAACGACAATATTTCTTTTAGTTTGTTATAATTAGAGCTTAGATTTTAATGACCTAAAAATACACAAAAATGCACTAAAAAAATAAACGCGAAATGTGCTAGAAACTCTGAAAAATGAACTTAAAAAATATACTTAGATGAGTAAAAAAAATTTAATTTAAAAATAATAATTATTGTTAATTATTAATTATTACTTATTCATTTTTATATAATATAAAATAGATAAAAATTTGTTTTAAGAAGTAAACAAATATATTTATATTTGAGTTGACAATTAATTATATTACTTTTTCAATATCAATGGAATTGGAGTAGGTAATTGGAATTACTTATACAACACCTATTAAAAAAAGCTTAAAATAAATATAAATGAGTTTAAATACACAAAATTAATGTAATATTTGTAAAAACAGCCTTAAAAATGCAATAAAATGCAAAAAAATGCAAAATAAAAATTACACATTCTAAATTGTGATACAACGAAATAAATTTAGTTTTTGTTTAGAACTGTATAGTACTTAAAAAAAAAAAATGCAAAAGTCATAAAAATGCTAGTTCTAGAAATAATGTATTTTGTTGAGACCATAAAAAAATAATAAATTTTAGATAATTGTTCTTGTAAAAAAAAAAATCTATTATTTGTCTGAATATATTAAAATTATTTGTTCGATTAATGTTTTTGCATTTAATAAATAAATATAAATACTCATATATGTAGGTACAGTAAAAAAATTATCTAATTAATATTTTTATTTTAAATTTTAAAAAATATTATAAACTCTATCATATTAGTTTTTAAAAAATAGAATAACTTTTGATTTTATTTAACCTTGAATCATTTTATAGGTGTATATGACAAATCTAAAGTAAAATTACACGTAATAACACGTCAAAATATCGGCTATCGTCGATACTACATAAAAATACTTTCCTATCTTGAATGAGTAGGGAATTTTTCGATAATTTAAATTTAAACATGATCAAATTAAATTTTTTTTGGTTTAATCATGTATTAAAATACAATGCAACCTACTACGCATATTAGTATTGTAAATATTTGTTTAATTTTCTTAATTTAGGGTTTAATTTCGTTTAATTATGTTATGCATTAGTTAAATATTTAATATGTGTATGTGGATTTAATGAGTGTTTAAGTGAAACAAATAAATATTTTTAGTATGGATAAAAATATATATAGGTATATAGCTTTCATTAGGCTTTATTCTAGTTTATCTAATCGTGTTGTTTTTAAAATTTTTAAAATATTCCAAGCGTTCAGACAAGAATTTAATAGTAGTTTAATAATAATAATCAATTACTATTTCATGTGAGTGTAGTGAACAAGATTATATTTTGCGCAATTTATGTGCGTGTATAAAACTACAGTTCGTTTAATTCCAAAAGAGTTGTCCTACGATTTAGATTTTATAGCTGGAAAAATGTAAACGATCTTGAACATTATATAGCCCTTTCGAAAAAATATTTTGTAATTATTACTCAATCAAACACTTCTATATTTTGTAGTAACTATTATTATAATTACTATTATTTAAACTTTATATATTCTAAAATGTAATTTAACAGCTTTAATTTCACTATTTCTATATGTTTATAAATTGTTAGTAATTACTGTTGCACACACGTGAAATCTGTAATTGCATATTGGTGTCATTGTAGAAAGAAATGTAATAAATAAAATGTTGTGATTTATTTCTGTCCAAGTATAACGCATAAATGTATCATTGAAAAATATTTTAATAAGTTTAAAGTTTAAAAAAATTATAGTCTTAAAATATATTGAAAAAATTATGAGTAAAGTAATTTCAAGTATTATCTATTGAAAAATATAAGCAAATATAAATATTTTTTTATTAGGTCGAAATACATTTTTATTTTGAAAATAATTTTTTTTAGCTATCCAAAAATCTTAATCACCATAGTATATGAAAATTATTTAGATTTTCTTTTAAGATTTTGTGTTATTCGTATTAGATTTATGTTTGATACTCACGCAATTTAACAGTGGATGGAGCTGCTAAAGCGATCCCGACGACGCACACAAGACAGCATGCAATTTTGATAGTATTGGCCGTCATATTGTGCGTGTGTGCTTAACGAAGTCAAAGAAAATTTCTGAATACTCAACAAGAGGGCTATGCTTGACACAGTGCCAGTTACATATTGACCAGTTGCATGCGGTACGTCCATTTTATTGGATTCACAAAGGCATCGTCCCCTCTACCTCTTTACCACTGTCCTCCATGTTGCTACCACTCATTTACAAAGCTACCCAAAACATAGATTACCGGAAGGCAGCCGACATCGTTCGTGTGTGAACGAGTTTTTTAGCCTTGTATGTAACTTGCTAAATTATTATTATCATTATTGTTCTTCTTCTTATTATTATTGCTATTATCATCATAATTTGCAACCAAATAATAGCGATTATAAAATAAAAAAATCCTGGGCTTACAAAAATAAACTATTATATGTGACATTAAGGATAATTTCATTGATTGTTTCGAATATTCTATCGAGTAATTTTAAGTCTTAATCATTACTAATTGTGAACATGACACTAGGGTCAAGGTATATACACCTAATAAGGTATGTGATTTTACATACTTGTTGAAATTTTCTTTAAAGAATGGCGTTAAAGTAGTTTACAGCAAAATAATACAAAAATCATTGAATATCGGTCAAAATTGGTTCTGAGTGTGTTTTTAAAGAATAATAGTTGTTTTTTGAGTGGTATGTTGTGTGGAAATCTGTTAGACTATAGAATATGAATTAGTATATTATACTTAAAAATTGATAATCTTTAAGTTTTTAATAAATTTTATTTTATTTTTAATCCTATAAAATGCATTAGGAATGTAAAAATTAATAAAAACATAGACTATTTTAACTTTAATTTGTTTAAAAATAAAATACATAAAACTAAAATATTTGAACTATATAAATATATTTTTCATATTATTTTAATGTATTTAAACTTTAATGCAAACTAAGATTAATTTTAGATAAATTATTATTTGATAAGTTATGTAATTTTATATATTATTACATAACTTTAAAGTAAAATACTAAGTTAGTTTAATTACATTTTTACTACAACTAAGACATCTCTAAAATCTTTATATATTTTTTCAATAAAATTTAAAATTCAAAATTTTGAAAACTATATCTATTTTAAACCTTTTAATTTCCAGACTTAATTTTGTAGCATAAAATGTTATAAAACTTTAAGATTTATTTGAATTATATTAGTTGTTTCTGGACTTCTGGTATTATAAACAAAGATATATGATTTAAAATTTTATTACAAGGTTACTCATACACATTTATTGTTTATGAATGTAATTCACGTTTTATTATACAAGATTATTTAGAGAAAATATTTTGCTTCCAGATTATTTTTTTGAAAAATCAACATATTAATAAAACATTATAGGAAACCAATTTTTGCCAAAAAATTATCGTTAAGTATTATATAATTGAATACGTTTTTATTAAATGTATTTAAGATATGTATGAATAATAACAAGAAAATATGTTAAAATGTATAGAAGACATACATGAAAAGTGCCATTCATCGATGACACTGATCTTAAACAATAGTAATGCAATTTTGACTGTAGTGAGCGAAGCCAGAATTTAGTGTTTAATTTAAAAATCCTATTTTATATTGAATTACAATACAATGCGCATAGATCATAACTCATAAGTATTATAACTATAAAAGCATTAAAATATGACCGTGTTAAAAGTGTGCATGTTACTATAATATTTCTTTAATAAAATATAATTTCTCTAATGTGTCATAAACTTGATCTGTTGTCATGACTCTTCATTGCGAATCGGATACATCGATAGATGATTTACCAACCATTTATTTGATGTTCAGATTTGTAGAAATATCACGACAATAGAAAGCTCTGCAGAGATTATAACATAATTTGCTATTGTTGTTTTTTTGCCGACCTTCCAACTCGAAAATATTGTTATGTTGGCGAAACGAACATAAACGGTCACAAACACAATTCAGAATCCAAAGGTGTATGCGGAAAAAAAAGTAGCCCTTGTATCAACCTAGCACTTGAAGTTGTATGCGTACAGTCGACCACATGCCACGTACTATACAGGCGTATACGCAATTTGTCGTGTTTGGTGTGTAACTGTAAACGGGAAAAGTAAATGGAATAAAACCCAAAACCTGTAGTCGGAGCGGTCCGAAAACAATCTATACTTTCCGAGAGGCACGTGCACTATGTACAAATATCGTAGGTATATATCAGAACGCCGAAATATTCGTAATTCGATTCTACAGCAAGTTACACAGAGATGATATAGGTGTATACACCGCTCCGGAAGAGGAAAAGGCAAACATCGATTCATCAAACGTACCGTCGGTCAGTGTCGGTGCTCGCGGCGGACGTATATGATTATATGCATTATGCAGTCATGAGTCAAGTGTTATTGGCACAGTGGCAATAAAAGTAACCGAATGCCAACGGCGTACATATTAATAATATTATATGTAGGTATATATTATTATTGTCATTCGCGACTGTCGCAGCGATTTCATAACAACGAATTCAGTACACAAATTGGTAATGCCATTGCGTGTGTGTTATCACAAAGACAAATAGTATGTCAATATTGAAAAAAAAAAAAAATCAACGAAAACAAAAACATGATACGATTATAATAAAGTAAAATTGTCACTTGTCAGTATAATATATAATTTTAAGCCGAACGTCAAGTTTATAAATTGAGTTATCTTCGATATGTCTCTAAATAATATGCGTATGTATTTGAAACAATATGTACAGTATGCATACCTACATAAAAAATGTTTGTGTCTGTTAACATATTTCTTTAACATAATATTTTTGGAACATGATGTCAGAAAACAATCACGATGTATTTTATAGAAATTTATTATTTTGTTTAAAACCGTATTACCTATAGGTATTTATTTTTTTTTTTTTTTACTCAGACTCGAGATAAAACCTCCTATCTTCGCCGGGAAAGATATTGGAAAGGAATTATTTATAGTAACAAACGATGTTGCCTGATGTTATTTATAACAAGTGTAATACATCATGTATATTATTTATGTGTTCATTAATGTAACGAATAATATTACTGTTGTTACTGATTATAAATGTAACCAAAAAAGCGTCTAACGAAATTCAGATAAATCCTCGGTCAAAGACATGGTCGTGTCAAAACAATAACATTTAAAAAAAAAAAAATTAAATAGTCGGTTTATGTAAATATTTTAATAGTTGATAACTTCTCAAGCATAAGGCGGAGTATACTGAGTAAAGATCAGTGTAATAAGTTATAGCAGACAAGCGGCCGGTATGTATGAGAAAAAACACGGTGAAACACTCTATATAGGTACATACTCGTACATATATCTATATATATTTATACATTTTTATTATTTGTGTATAATACATAGTATATACCGAATGGCCATTTAACATAAAACACTTATTATTTCAAAAACTATTAATATTTTTTACATAATTTTAAGTTGTTTTCAAACAGAATTTTTGAAAACATTATATTTTTACTGTTTTTTTTTTTTTTTTTTTTATTATCGCTTTTGAAATTGTTTACTTTTTAATAACGAGTATTTTGAATTTCTTGTTTAAAAAAAGAAACTATTGGAATTATTTGATTTATATATATATATATAATAATCAAGAATTTAGGACAATTAGTCCCAACACAGTCTATTAGTTATAAGTACTTAAAGCTTAGATATGCGGAATGAAGTGGTATAGAGGTACCTCAAAAATGCTAATCCACTACTATAATCATCAAATTTTTAAATTTTTATAAATTAAAAATTACTTGTCTATAATTTGATTTTTATAGGTCTTATAGATAGAAATATTGTACTTTGGAATACTAAATTAAAAATGTTTTCGTTCAAAATATAGAAAAAAACTTAAAAAACAATAACGATAAAAATGTAATTTTTGGAAAAATTGTATTTTGTAATTATGTAAAAGAAGCATTTTCAAACACTTTATTGTTTTCTGGAATGATAAATATTTCACGTACTTATTATCTATGTATATATTAAATAGACCTAGGAACTTACTACAAAAGACGACTGATTTATCACGGGATCTAAAGAAAATTTTTTATACTGTATGTATACGTAATTGTACATATAATATACCTATCGATACTGTAGTCGATAAGCGAAACGTGAAAATATTAAGTTTGTACTTAAGTCTTCGCCCGAAAATTGTAATCATTGTGAAATGTATTTTGTATATCTAAAGGTAGTCGGCCGCAGATCAACACACTCGTAACAAAAATGTGTGCTTTTTTTGTTATTTATCATAATAAATATCGTTTCGTTTTCTGTATTGTGCTTAGTATCAATAGAGGAGGAGCCAAAGATAGTGTACAGTAGCAAAAGTACACATGTGACGAGAAATATCCGCTATTATCGATACATACTCAGGTTTCCAGAACGACGCGTCGATGCATCAGACATTGAGACGGAACGGTAAGATTATAGTATTTCTCGCGTTTATACCAGATCAAAATATTATAGTATGGTTGGTTATATTATGTGGTGCGATTTTCGAGACTAAATAGAAATCTGCTGTTTTGACGAAGACGTAAGTATATATAATTATATATTATGGATGAGATAAATGCTACCACCTTTGATAAACGCTCATATACGTATGATAACATAACATCAATTATTGAATCTAAAATAATACGCTTCGAGACTGGTCTTGCTGTAGACGTTTTGAGCACACATAAATAATTATTACGCTCCTAGATCGGAGGCTGTGTGCGGCCGATATGTAAACGAAACTTTATCGGTTTTAATATAAATTTGAATATATTTACGTCTCAGTACACACGGGCAGCTGACTGTACTGCGGCAGATGATAAAGGCATAATTAAAATAAATTGACATATCGACATTCAACTTATACATTATGTCAATAAACGTAGACGCAGTAACTGTTTCTGAAAACTCCCAAGTTTATCTATATGTTGACTATATGTAACTAATATGAATATGGCTGGGATCGTTGAAGTAAGTCTTTACTAACAACATATTTTAAACACTAACTGGAATGCCTCAAATTGTTAATCTCTAATCCTTGTTGTCCTGATTCCTTAATGATGGTCCTTCTA